AGCATTAGAAGTGCCAGAGAGATTGATAGCTCATGAATGACATCATGCCTGTCCATGCTTAGGTTACAGGGCAGAGGGCAGGGGTCACACAAGAGTTCATATAAGGCTTCTGCTACTACAGCTGTCCATAAACCCACAACAGACCTTTAATGTCTCCTCAGTTATTTGGCTGTGCACGAGTACTGTATAATCACAAGCTTCCCTAAATGACTTTGGCTGATGTGACAATCGTACTAGCTGAGCAGATGCTGTCTCCTTAAATAAAATAAAAAAATACAACCTCAGGAGTGTCCTTGTTCACTTCATAAAGCTGTGGACTCAATTGGTTTTATCATGTCATATTTTTTTATACCCTTGCTCAAAAATAAAAACGTTAATGCAACCTACTAAAATAAACTGCCCGTGACTTCCTGTATCAGTGGTAACTGACTGAATAAAGTATGAAATGGGCAACTAAATGTTGATGTTGGCTCATGGACCTGATAAAGCTAAGTAGAATGTATTAAACGCAAATCACAGCTATCTCATGGTGGCCAGGAAAATATAGCTTTGGGACGAGGACTGAACAATGTATAGGAAGTATAAGTCAATCACAATACTGACTTTTGCATCACATGACTCGCTGGCCAAGTACGTGTCAATTTTTGATTATTATATAAATTATCGTATATAATAAAAACAATAAATCGTAATTGCATAGTTCTTCCCACATTGTCAGCCATAATCCGGACTGCACTATAGCGCTGCCAAGTTGGGACTTGCTGCTCTGCCAGAAGGGGAATGTAAAAAGGCTCAGAGAGCAGAAGGTGGGACCTTACCATTTCAAGGACTAAAAGGCCACACATTACCATATCAGCCATCTGCTACCAAACTGTCGGCCTGCCCTATTGCATCCTTTCCAGTCAAGATGTTTTATTTAAATATCATTTCACTTTCAACTGGTATTCAATACTTGCTTTCCCCACATCTCTTCCATCCACCTCCTTAGTGTTTCTTTCTCTCTCTGCAGTGAGGGCAGCAGCAGTCAGTCCTGCTGCACCCTCCCAGTCATCATTAGAACCACACCATCCTCCTCCTGCTCCTCCTGCTCCTCCCCCACAGTCACAACGGCTGCTGCTGCCAGGGAGGAGCTGGTGTCACAGTTCACCTCAACCTCTGTCCTGACCTGTCACCTCTCAGAGCTGATCACCCTACCAGGCGTAACAGCAGGTACGGTACAGTACTTTTGGGGGTCTCAGCAGACCATTGACCAGTGTTTTAGTTTCCAAATGACTGATGGATTCCGGGACATCTGACAAATCCCGTGGGTTACTGTTCTGCGGTGCATCCCATGCGAGATACCTGCTGCTGCTGCAATGCACTTCTGTCCTCGTATGGACATGTCAAGGTTGTGCCGGAATCAACAGGGCTCTGCGTGCTGACAGGACTGTGGCGGTACATACTGTAGCAGGCGGTGAAGTCAAAGAGTTTTTCTACAAACCACATTAGTTTTAGAATGTTTAAAACACTATACTTGTTAAAAATGTATAGCAAAATGACTACCGAAAAGAACCTACTCAAAATGAATCCTAAGCATCAAAATCACTAATGGGGGGCAAAAGAATATCTAATCTAATGCCATTGTGACCACAGAATTAAAGAGAATCCTTTACTACACACGCTGCGTGTTAAAAAACTCTCACCTCTTACTACCTACACTGAGAGAAGAATACATCAACACACAAAGCCACAATGTGAAGATGCAGTTCCTCAAAACTTGCTGCTAAATGTCATGTTAGCGTATAGTCTATGCACTCACTCGATGTTTTAATTATTCCTAACTTTTAGGAATGTCTCTGCATCAAAAAGTCAAGTGTCTCAGCTTAATGCATCACTTCACTCTTGGCCATGTCGTGCAAGGTGTAACTAGGGTTGGTGTGGAGTGGAAAACAGTTAGGGGTCTTCTACTAACCTGCCCCTGTTGTAATTAAAAGTGTCAAATCAGTGAGATAACCACTTTAATCCACAGTAAAAGTACTAAGCTGCTGATGAAGCACAGAGTGTCATTTTTCCTAACTGGATTATGTATTAATTACTGTAGCTTGCTATTAAAATGCAAAAGAGGTTCAGATGAATTGATCTTCTGGTCTTCTCTGCCCTTGCCCCACAAGGTTAAAATATCGTAGGTAAATCACTTGAGGTGACAGTTATCCAGTGAGCAAACGATAACTACACCATCCAATATAGGATAATAATCTGGGCGGAGAAAGAGAAAAGGAAATGACTCTGCTAAGTACATATGAAACTAAGAGATACATGGTTATAATATTCAGTGATACTGGCGCAAATTCTCTAAGTAAATGGAAATGTAGCTTCTGACAGTCCTGGTTTGAGTTCAAATGCAAAACTGAACCGACAGTCTTCATTTACAGTGGAAACGTATGAAAAATGTAACATGACAGGTCGTGTCAATGACCTCTTCATTCCGAAAGGATTGTGGTTGTAGTACGTTTTTTGTTTAATTGGGGAAACCAGTGCTCTATTGCTACCACTTTGCCTTGCAGGCAGTGTAAATGATTCCGTCATGTTCCCGTCTGCTAGAGCTGCCCCCCACCCACTCTCTAAAGGGGGAGGGCGCAAGACACACTGTTTTGTTTTGAGTGATGAACTAACATTTGTGTTTTTAGAGAGTCTGCAAAACGCATAAACACTTTTTTATCAGCTTCAGTTGGACACACCTTCTGAATCAGCTCGCCTCAGCAACATGCTGACACATCCTCATTATGCTACTCTTTTTATTCTCTAGCCACTTCTAGAAAATCAAGTGCACACAATCAAGGTTATTATTTTTTAAATTCAAAAAGGCACTGTGTATATATTCACATATCCTTTTGCCAGAAAACATAAAGACAGGTAAATGAGAAGGGAAGATATTGGAAGCAAAGGGAACAACTTGAAACTGAGAATGGCTCAGTTTCATGAAGTGAAAGAACACATTAAGATATTTGGATTATTTATAGTTGCACCTAATTCCTGATGATATGCAAAACTATCAAAATCCTAACTCTGCTGTGAAAATGCTGGTTTTATTACAAGAGAAACTCCAACACAAGTTTCAGATTGAAGCATCAGTTCGCCTCCATAGATTTCTCCAGAGAGAAAACTGAGGTTCCTCCTGCAGAATACATATAGGTCTACATGTTGTAGAAACATAATCTTAAAAGATATTCAACTTTGCATACTGCAGGAAGTAATCATGAATTATTGATTATTCTTCACCACACTCTCAGGATATATGCAACAAGGACGGAGCCTACTGAGATGGCATGTGGCGAACGCAGATAAGCAAATGTCAAACAACCCACAACAAAGCCACATAAAACATAAACAAGAGTACTACATAATGAAATCCATACATGAGCACACTAGCTCGCACTAGATCCTCCACAGTCCACGAGGCGTGTAAACATTGGTGTCATTGTTGAACAGAGCTTTTGTTGTGACAGAGTTTCAATGACACCAGAACTTTACTCATTTAGCACAAAACACAAAGCAGGGCAACAGTGGGACCTAAAATAGGTTCCTTCTGGTCTCATCTTGTGTCTCTAAAACATGCTTTCATGAGCTTTTTCCAGAGCAGTCCTCTTTTAAACCTGGTGACCCTTCTTCACAAAGCCCAGGAGAAATCTAGAGAAGCCCTGGATAATATAGATGACAGCAGATTTCCCCACCTTTTAACTGATTAAAAATGCATTCATTATTTGTTTATGTAATTAAAAACAAGTATAACTCAGGGTGTGGTGTCCATTGATGTAGATGGTGTCTTTTACCAGTAATCTTGACACTGCCTCTCATACACTCAATATTGATGTCTGTTGAGTAGGAGGATTGACTAAAATCTAATTTCCAACAATGTGTTTGTTAATCAAATTAAGTGCTACATGATTTATAGGATGAAAACAGATCCAAGAAGCATTTCCATAACACAGTAAAACACTGAACGGGTATTTTAACATTATGTCTATTAGTCCAGATTCAAGGGGCTTTTGGTTTAACTCTTTAATTATTTGCCCTTTGAGCAGGCTAGCCAACCTAATTGGACCGCCATAATCACCTGCAATTGTTCATGAATATGTGCCAAAATAATTCACTTAACGATATACTCAAATTAGAATACTTGGTGGTTTTGTTAGTCTGCCATTACAGTAAATGAATACATTTTAATTTAGGATTGTTTGTTAGAGCTGAAATTGATGGTGTAACCTTTGGCTTTGGCGAGTTTTTAACATCTTATAAACCAAACAACTAGTCAATTAAATAAGATGCAGATTATTTAATGCACACATAAGAAGTTGCAGCCCTAGAGATTCTAAAAAATGAATACATTAAGACTTATTTTAGACGTAAAACTGGACATTACTGGTAACACTGACAGAACATCAGTGAAGATCTTATTTCTACTCATTTGTGTTGTCACTGAAGATGACAAGTAGGACTGGTTTCAAATAGGATGCATGTACATGTTGAGGAACTAAGATGTTGTGTACATCATATAAAATATAAGCTAATGTTTGACAATGCTTGGTCTCAGGCCAAGTCACACCCAGATGAGGAGCTACACGGAGTCATGGATGAGCTAATCGATGGGTGTAGGGTTGCTACAGTAGCAGAGTGCTGCACCTGCTGAAACCTGTAGTGACACTTGACTTACAGACAGAGAGATGCTACCTGGCCAGTGGTTATTTAATGCATTACTGTGTGGTCTCAGATATTTGGAACAACAACCCTGTTTAGCCTGCCAGCACCAGCTGAAAAACATGAGGCTATGAGCTACACTGCTAGCTAGCACGCTAGTGAGCTAGCAAGCGAGTTTATGCGTTTAAGGCAGATTAAGTGAACCTGAACCCTGACAGGCTAGCAACTAATTTCTTCAACAAAAAACATCATACAGTTCAAAAACACTTGTCACGCTCCGGGAATAACCGGGTCTCAGTGTAAACACATTAGCCAGTGTGTGGTACCTTTGTCTCCTTGATGTCCTGCTTTCCTCCTTCAGGGTACCACTGGACGCGGACAAATCCCCGACACAGAGGCCGACTCGGGATGTCCACAGCGCTCTCAGCGTCCGACCCACCGGGGACTCCTCGTCCTTCTCCGCCTCCTCCTCCACCACCGCCGCCGCCATCGTCATCGAGGTCCGAGTCTGAGTTAAATTCCTCCTCACCCTGGATCATCCGTACGAGGCCGAAACGGACATAGCCGCGATACCGCCCAGAGACCAGGTCGTGGGAGAAGAGCAGCCGCTGGGAGCCGTCCGCCGTGGGAGACAGAGCCAGGGAGGGAGGCTCTGATCCCGGGCTGGCTGCCGGGGAGAGGCCCGGGGTCGTGGAGGCTGCTGTGGCCACCGCATCCGATGCTGCGGGCTCCGCCATCGCTGCTGTTGTCAGGGAGTGATGCTGGAGCGCGAGCCTGACGGTGCAATGAGAAAAACGGTAACCTGGAAGCAGCGATGTGCACGTGTTTACGTCGCCGCTACGGATAGCTGCGTCACTGGCGCGGTACCGTCTGTCACCTCTGAGCGGCGTTGTGGGCCTCCAGCTGTGATGCAAAGACCACATGGTTCCCCTAATATAAATGCCTTTATTTTATTTTTTAACTGCATTTCAAAGTTTTAGCATTGTTGTAAAGTTACTAAGTAGTTTACTCAAGTACTGTAGACCTGTATTTTACTTGAGTATTTCAATGTTTCGTTACTTTGTTCTTCTACCCCACTACAATTCTACTTTTACCCCGATTCATTCATTTAATAACTTAAGTTACTTTGCAGATTTAGTTTATTGATGTGAAATATAATCAACACTTTAAAAATACTTAAGTTATACCTGGAGTAAAATTCACAAGCTACCCTGCAGTATTCAAAGTAATTAAAATTAAAGTAACTGCACCTTTACCAGCTTTGATAACACTTAAATGCAATATTGTATATATCAAAAATATATAATATATATTATTCTGAAAGGTACCAAACTGCACAATAAGTGTATTTTGATGCCAATACTTTTCTACTTTTACTTGAGTAACGTTTTGATTGCAGGACTTTTACTTTTAACAGAGTATTTCTACACTCTGGTACTTCTAGTTTTCAGTATAAGATCTGAGTACTTTTTTCTGAGTTCCTCTACTTTTTTGAAAATAAAAAACACATTACTTTACATACTAACAAATATATATTATTATTATTACATGTAATATTATTTGTATTATTACTATTATTATAATACACTTTTATTTTATTTTTAGAAATGGAAGAATTGGCAACAGACACTAACACCAAAAAAACATGAAGTTTAATAAGCATTCACAATTCTTGAGGGCATCTTAGTTGGACTCTTGAAAAAATGGTGAATCCAAAGAATATTTTCAAGCTTTTCCAAAAATCTTAAACAGTTTAACAGGGAAAGCTTTGCATAAATGAAACTCAGTGTTTATCTGGAGATAGAGATTATTTTCAGCCTTGTGACCCCTACAGGGGGTTTACTTGCATTACATTTCTGTTGATGTTGACTGGACCACTCCTAAATAAAAAGAATATGAGAAATGCAGTAAAATATAGTTATGTTGCTAGATTACTCTACTTTCCAGTTATGTGAAGAGGGTTACACTTTGTGGAAAATTTCATAAGAGAGGAAAACAGCTGCGGCTTCTTGAAATTCCTTATATGTGGCTTATAACACTGAAGAGGTGAAAAACAAACTCCTACACGCCCTGTAATCCTTTTACACATCTGGAAAAAGAAACGAGCAAAAAACGTGCATTCGATGGAAAGTTTTCTTCTGAGAGATCACATCACACATACCTCCAGGCCTTAAAATGGTAACAACCCAAGCAGACTTTGAGACCTCCAACACATGATCAGTCAAATCAAAATCTGCTGCAGGTCTGATGGTGGCATGATTGATTGATTGATTGATTGAAAAGTTTATTAACAGCTTGTATATTGGGTACAGTACAGTACAGCTCAAAACATACAATTGTTAAGGGGATGCAGACCAGAGAAAGACTTTCGTCTTGTTTACATCAGGGTCCCCCATTTCCAATTCATCATATCATTTAAGACATATAAGACATATTAGACATACCGATGGATTATTTACAACTTACATACAGGTGGTTTTTTACATACAGATGGCTTATTTACAATTTTCATTTTAGATTTTGTTCTAATACATCCTAACCGGACATTTAAGACATACCAAGTCTACAGATATACAGTTAGTAACAGAGTCTAAAATGCGAGTATATACATAGATGGGGGGGGGGGGAGCTGTCCATTGTACGACAGGTTGAGATTTGTACCATTACCGGGGCCAGTTTTGCAATGCTCTCCCCCGAAGGTGTTCTTTAAGAGAGGTTTTGAAGGTAAGTATAGTTTTACTTTCCTTTACAGTTGTGGGAAGAGCGTTCCACCTTGATGTGGCATAATTGCGAAACGTGTATTCCCCCTTTTTTGTGCCAAATCTGGGTTTTACATGATTTGTGGAGCTCCCTCTGGTGTTATGATCATGGTATTCCTTGACCTTTGGGAAGAATTTTGACATGTACATGGGTACCATAGAGGTGTAGTGGATCTTGTAGACCAGGCCCATTGCAAGTAGCTGTACTCTGTTGTCTACTCTAAGCCATCCTAGGTTGTCAAAGTGGGCAGAGGTGAGGTGGGTTCTAGATGAAAGGTCAAGCAGTAGTCTGACCAGTTTATTTTGCGATGTTTGAAGTTTTATTTTTAGCACCTTGGAGGTGCTATGGTACCATGACGTGCAAGCATAGTCATAGTACCCTTGAATGAGTGCTCCTGCCAGAGTTTTCAGGGTGTTTTTGTTTACCAGAGAGGAGATCCGGTATAGGAATCTAGTTCTTTGATTGACTTTTTTTATTACATTGGATGCCATTTTGTCACAGGAGAGGTTTGCCTCAAGAATAGATCCTAGGTATGTAATTTCCTTCTTACTTGTGACAATAATGTCACCCACTGCAACTGAGAAGTCGTCGGATTTGCTGAGATTATGTTTCGAACCGAAGAGAATGGACTCTGTTTTACCCAGGTGTAATGATAATTTATTATCGGCGAGCCAGGTGCAGATTCTGCCGAGCTCGGAGCTGAGGGTTTTTTCAACCTGCAATCTGCTCCTGTCAGAGACCAGCAGGGCTGAGTCGTCCGCGAACAGGAACAAGTTGCAGTCACATGCTGATGACATGTCATTTGCATAAATTAGGAACAGTAACGGACCTAATATGCTTCCTTGTGGAACACCACAGCTCACTGGGAGGGGGGGGGACAGAGTACCGTTTACCTCCACCATCTGTTCTCTCCCCTCCAGGTAGGATTGCATCCAGCTCACCGATAGTTTATCAAAACCAATTGCTTTTAGCTTGTCAATCAGAATGGGGTGATTGACAGTGTCGAAAGCCTTTTGTAGGTCCAGCATCACCATGCCGCAGTATTTACCCTCGTCCACCTCTTGTTTGATGTGGTCGTTCAAATAAAGAAGGCATGTGTCAGTGGAGTGGGATGTTCTAAAGCCAGATTGAAATTCATAGATTAGTTTATTTTCCGCGAGGTACTTTTCGACCTGTTCATATACTATTTTTTCCATGACTTTCGAGATGGAGGTAAGTATAGAAACAGGGCGGTAGTTGCCTGGGTCCAATTTGCTGCCCTTTTTGTGCAGGGGGGTTACTCTTGCAATTTTGAAGTCTTTGGGTACTTTTCCCTGTTTTATGGAGAGGTTAATTATGTGAGCTATGACTGGTGAGATGGCAGTTGCTGTGTCTCTGAGGAATTTGGAGGGGATATTGTCGTGGCCAGTGGCCTTGTTAGGTTTGAGGGCGCTCAGTTCAATGAGTACCTCTGCTGTTGTTACCCTTGCTAGACTGAAATCATCTTTGCGTACCCCTAGGTTTTTGTAGGTCATGATGTGATCTACTCCAAAAAGCCCTGAGTGGGAGGGTAATTTATTTACAAGAGTTGTGGCTATGTTTGTGAAAAAAATGTTCAAGTACTTGGCCACATCCAGTTTGTCTGTGATGAGCCTGTTATCTGTTTTTATGTTTAAGTTTGAAAATCTCGTTTTGAGTTTTTTACTGCAGCCAAGCTGGTTATTGAGTAATTTCCAAAGTTCACGGGGTTTATTTTTGTTTTCCTCAGTTTTGACATTGATGAAATTCTTTTTGGCAGTTTTGATCATGGAGCTTACGTCATTTCTTAGTCTGTTTCTTTCAATTTTTAGTTCCGTCACGTGGGCCTGGAGTTCACTGCTCGTGCTTTTGGAAAACATTGACTGACTTTTATGAAACTCAGAGCATTTTTTGTCTCTGGTTTTCATGGCGGTCAGTATGCCGGAGTGCATCCACGGCTCAGCGCGATTTTTTACCCTGGTTGTTCTTAGGGGGGCCAAATCATTGAGTATTGCAGAGAATTTGTTTTTGAAACCAAGCCATGTTTCTTCAACTTGTGTACCACTGAGCTCATCTGACCAGTCCAGGCTCTCCAGTTCTAGGTTAAAGGCCTCGCTAGAGTAGTTTTTGAGGTCTCTAGATATGACTGTTTTGTGACAGCCGGCCTTTTGTTTTAGCTTTTTGCGGGTACAGAATATCATATAATGATCACTTAAACCGCATGCTATAACCCAGGGGCGTCGCCTGGACCTGAAAACATTCGGGGCTTAGCCCACAGTGGCGGCGGCACTACAGTGGCATTTTTCACTGCAACACTCCCCACACGCACACACACAGTACACCCGCGACTGTTACAATGAAGGCTCGATAATCAGCTCATGGCATATAGGCAGGGGTAAAGTGGTATTTTTTCTGAGTGGGGGGCTCACCTCCTCTAGGGGGGTCCGGGGGGATGCTCCACCGGGAAGATTTTTTTTTTAAATATTGAAGTTAAATGCATCAATCTGGTGCACTTTGAGAGCAAAATGAAGAGATCTATGGATACCTCTCTCAACACCCATATGAAGCAGAACTGTAAACAGATGTACTTTTTCTTTATGGATATTTTACTAATCACTCCCCTTTTAAACTCTATTCTTGTTTTACTGCCATATAGTATTTCATAACTGTTTTTCCTTTATTCTCTTATTTTTTTTATAACTATAATGATCATATGAAGGTGTGCCGCAGAAATAATCTTTTGAATAATTTGTGACCAAACCGTTTGAGACCCACTGAGATAACTTAGACTAAAGTTAACTATCTAAACACTCAGAGAGTCCTTTAGCTCACCTGAGTCTCTCAGTCTGAGAGGAGAGGACTCTCCTCCAGCTTGTTGTGGAACAAACAGCTCCTTATGTCCGTTAGTGCAGCTAGCTAACCAGATGCTAACAACACGGTCCATGCTGGCACCGGTCCCTCCCTCCCCCTCTCTCCCTCTCAATCACACTAAATGCGCTATTGCCACACACACACACACACAGAGCCGAGCTTGAATGACACAAGCACACATTTATTTCCATGCAACTCTCTGATTGGTCTGGTGTCATGCCTCTGTTGCATTCACTGAACACGGAAAATTACAGTGCTGCCGTCCTCTCTTGTGTCATGATGAGGTTCACGTACGTAAAGCACGGTTAATGTATTATATTATTGAGGGAGAATTGTCCGGGGCTACAGAAAAAATATTCGGGGCTAAAGCCCCGGATGCCCAGGCCAGGCGACGCCACTGCTATAACCCCTTTACTGGAGATCATGGACCTGTCAGAGGTCAGAATGAGATCAATGGTAGTTTGTGTTGTTTCACATACCCGGGTGGGTTGGGTGATTAGCTGGCTGAAGCCGTGCAGATCACAAATCCTACTGAAGGACTTGAAGACGGACGTGTCTTTACGTTGCATATCCGTGTTCCAGTCTCCAATAATAATTGTCTCTCCCCCACATCAGCCAAACACCCATCTAATGTATCATAAAAGTCACTCTGTTCCGGTGGTCTATAGATTGTCCCGACTATTACAGATTTATCATTGTCAAAAAGAATTTCAACCCACACAGATTCAATATTTTCATGATGCAGGTCAGTACGGTTTTTGAAATTGGTGTCTTTATGTATGTACATGCAGACACCACCTCCATTCACGTTCCTGTACCTTCTCACTACAAAATAATCTTCAATTTCAATCTCTGAATCTGTAATGGAATTGTCCAATTTGGTCTCAGAAAAGCATAATATGCTTGCCTTACTGTTCATGAATAGTTGCCTGAGCATGACGAGGATAATGCTCACCAAACGGATATTCCACGACCTGACCCCGACTAAATATGTGTATTGTTTGATTTACTAATAGGGAATTGCAGGGTTTGGTCATCCAGCTTGCTTGGGGATTATAACCTTGCGCACCGACCGAGGGTATAAATACTGAAGGCGCGCACCTCTCTGCTCAGTCTTAACCCGCAGTCCCTTTACGCACGGATCAGGCTTTTAGACGAGGACCTAGCAGCGTTAAAGGAGAGAGAAGCAGACACGGGTCATCAGGTACAGTCTCCCATACTTTATAATTTTGTTTTCTTGGGGGGAAACACCACTTTATGTCGGTGATGAACGCAGTTCCGTTGACGAGGCCGCTCCACATGCCGTCTCCGGGGTCGAGGGGTCGCCGCCACACGCTGCCGGCCAGCGAGTTCCGCTCCCTGAGCCCCGAGGATGCCATCAGCGTGTTCGAGATTGAGAGAGAAGGTAAACTACACGTTGTGCTTTACTTAATTAAATCACGTAGTTCTGTTAAAGCTTTTAAATAACTTTACGGCAGTTAGCCTTTTCCATGCTCAGTTACGCACACAGAGAGGACATTACATTACATTGAATTTAGCTTACGCTTTTGTCCAAAGCAATACACCATACAGATTCCAACTCGTAACAACAACACAAAAAGTGCTGACATATTCACTTCAAACAAGCAAGACCATTGTAAGTGCTGGTGCTGGTGCATAAGTTAAAGTCTTAAGTGCTACTTATGCCTACTTATTTTAGGGACGTTTTCTTTCTTGTAAAGGAAATTGGGATCATTCATTGTGTCTCATGGAAAAAGCAGCCTAAGGTCATGTTTTTCTTAAACGTTAAACAAAAAACAGACATTATCAACATACCTTTAAACCTATAGTAAACTTTTTTTAAATATAGATAGGATTAATTCTGGCCAACAAATGATATTTTGTATAATTATAAAGGGTGACCTGTGATTATTCTTGTAATTATTGTTAATTAAGGGTTAGGGTTAAATCTATTTAATAATATATATTTTACTTTTACCTTCAATATTGTGTGGCCCACTACAAATATAGTTACCATGGCCATTACGATCTATCCTAAATGTGTGTGTGATATGAGTTCAGGTGTCTTTGACCTGCATAACTTCCCTGGCTGTGATCCAGCATATCCTTATTTATCAAATATGGCAGTCACATGTAAGTAGGGGGACGTTATGCCCACTTTATGTCATCCAGTTTGTATAATATTCTCCTCTCCACAGCCTTCATCTCAGTGTCCGGCGAGTGTCCTCTCCACCTGGACGAGGTGCGTCACTTCCTCACCTTGTGCCCTGAGCTGTCTCTTGGCTGGTTTGAGGGGGGACGTCTGGTGGCTTTCATCATCGGCTCACTGTGGGACCAGGAGAGGCTTACCGAGGTGAGACAGAGAGCAGGACACCTGGACAGAGACTTACCTCAGGCCTAATGGCAGGGAATATGCAGAACGAGGTTCAAAACAGATTAACAGGAGAGATTTAGGGGCATATTTATGGTATAATGTCTTCAGAAAGTCAGATGGTGTGGGTAAATGTTTCACAGATTCTCATAAATGTTCAGATGTCAGAGTACGTTTCAGCATTATTATGGCCTTGAATGTTCCTTTAATATGAAATGCAGGTTGGCACACTCTTGAGGCATATAAAGAATGATAGTTAGAAAGTAAATACCAGTTGTGAGGAAAACTGTGCAATGACGTTTTGCAATAACTCAGAGAGCAAACATTCACAGAAGACAATGTGCTTAACAAGGCCAAAGATATACAGAGTCTAGAGGTTACATTAGGTTAAACATTTTAAAAACTACAAACTATAAACCTTTTAATGCTCCAACCAAAGCTAGAGAAAACACTCTTTATTTCACATGTATACCGAAGCTGTATAGTCTTCTGTCTGTGATGACTTTTCCGTCATATATTCTATGCTAACACATAGTAACAATAGAGAATCGTAAAGTCAGCAAACATTCATCAATCATCAAGTTTGTTATCATTTGCCAACATGAGCTACTGGTCATACCAGTCCAAGTAATGTTGTATCATCAAACATCCTGAGTGTGTTGAATTAGGCAACTCTCCATTTGAATGCATACTAGTTTTCTATTGTGGGAGGAACAATGTTTTATCCATCTCAAATCAAGACTGAATGAAACATCTATCTCCCAGGCAGTAGATATAGTTGGGCACTTTTAGAATTTTTCTTTAGTAAAATAGATTTAATTCAAAGAGGGATTTTTCAGTCTTTCCCCCTATTCACACACATTGATACAGAGGCAGAGGCTGCCTTAAAAGGTGCTACCAAACATTCACACACCATTGGGAATAATTTATAGCTAAGCATCTTGCTCAAGGTCGACATGTTGACAGCAGGGGCTGATGGACGACTGCTCTACCTTTTTGGCCACAGTCTTCCAAGTATATACACTTAAACAGGTTTCTCATCAATTCCACATTTCTTACGCTTCTCCCCTCCCTCTGTATTTCCCAGGATGCCCTCACTCTCCACAAGCCTCACGGGATGACCGTCCACATCCACGTCCTGGCCGTCCACAGGACTTTCCGGCAGCAGGGCAAAGGCTCCATCCTGATGTGGCGCTACCTGCAGTACCTGCGCTGCCTGCCCTACGTCCGCCGCGCCGTGCTGATGTGTGAAGACTTCCTGGTCCCCTTCTACAGGAATTCAGGCTTCAAGGTGCAGGGCCCCAGTGAGATCTCGGTGGGACCCCTTACATTTATTGAGATGATGTTCCCGGTCAGGGGCCACGCCTACATGCGACGTAACAGTGGTTATTGAGGACAGGTGGACTTCATGTGGATTCTCCCTGGATCCTCTGGGACCTGAATCCCCTCATGGACAAAGCATTATGGGACATCTGAGCAGCTTCCAGCAGCAGCAGGGTGTGTGTGATCCTCACTTTGCATAAGACAGCTTCTGAGGAATGTGCTCTGACTGTGAGTCTGCAGACAGCCGAGTGCAAAGAGCTGCCATCCAGTTGCAAGCATCAGCAGTGTGGAAAATAGTTGAAAACTTAAAATACTGCAAGAAAAAAACGATTAATTACAGCAAAGTCCTGAAAGAATGTAAGCACTTATTTATATTTGGTTTTGTATTTAACAATGAATAATTTAAGAAATGTAATATTGTATTCAATAGAACACAGTGGCCTTGTCTTTCTGTTAGTCGTTTTTTTTATATATGTATTATTTAACCAATATAACATGGTTTCATGCTCTCTATGAAACCATTGTGTCATTAAGTATATGCCCAGTACTAATTCATTCTGCCCTTCATGGTTTGGTAAAAACATCATGCCTACCACAGCATTAGAACATTTCTGTGACACTTTGTTTAACTATGATGATGACTTTGAAGGTGACTTGCCAAAGTGAACAGCTAACTTTCAAAGCCTACGAAATAAAGATTCAAAAGGGAGTGATATCATACAATAATTTAATTTAGTAGGTTAGACCCAGCTGATTATTTTATTATATTTATGTACACATGCAATCACTTTATTTAGTATTTCAGTTTTCTAAATGTTTGCTTTCAAATGATCTCGATAGCCTCCTCTTGCCTTTCCCCTCATAGACCATCGCCGCCTCTGCCTCCCGAGTCTTGAATCAAGACAAACATGTTTTTATTTACAAAGTTTTGTTCTTCATATAATAAAGCTTCTATTTTCTAGCATGTCTGCATTGATGTCATTTTGTTTTTTTACAGTTGTTCTTACCACATGGTCCATTTAGTAACTATTTTAAGGCTTTTTATCATATTGCATTTTCTTAATACTTCTTTTACAAGAATGTGTAATTAAGTTTGTGTTGCCTTTGTACAACAGATCCACAAACATATAAGGTCAGTTATTCTCACTTTAATGTATACAAATTCAACTGTTTTTGGGTCTCAATGGTGTGGCGCCAAGTACAGAAAATAATTTGATGACAGACACAACCTCAACGTTCACTAGGTAACTGAGTGAAACTCATTTTTAATAGTGACATTTATTTTAACATAACTGTGTTAACACACATATATTTTCACATATAAAACTGAAGCAAAACAAAACAGTACCTTGAAAATGACCTGAAGTTCATTTAAAATGTTCCTTTTTCATTCCAATAATCAGAATGAGTGAATATATTTGGTCCCAAAGCAAGCACAGCAGTTGTTTCTCTTCAGGTCAAAAGGCACAGTGAAGAGGTTTCCTAAAGAGAGGTGGGGGTCATTATTTACACTGCTAGAGTCCTATGTTTTATACAGACAGCCTTTACAAATGAAATACAGTGGTGTTTGCCCAACATATAACCTTGTTGCACTTAACAACTCATGTTGTCAACATGTTGATAATCAGTGAGTCAGCCCCTTAGACACACTCTCATAATCTCATAACTCACTCAGTAACTCACATAATCCTCCAACAACAGGCTTTCCTAACAGCTCGGGCCACAACAGAATCACCAACAACAACAAACCAGCTCAAAGTGAAAAGCAGGGGGAACTGTGGGAGAAATCTTTCAATTCAGGTAAACAACTTCTGACAACCATTTATCACATTGTCATCAACAACCTAACCTGGGTCATGGATTTGAAAACCAGAGCAACCAGCTGCTAGCTCCCAGACAAAAGGTAAATAGGTGAGTTTAAATGACATGTCGTCAGGACAGTTGGCATTTAAAGAGTTATAAATTACAGTAGAAAACTTTCTTGGATTCAACAAAACGGTCTGTTTAGATGATTACTCCCATGGCAATTTTACAGTAAGCATACAAAAAGGTTTAGGCACCACTGTGTTATGAGACGTTACACATATGAGACATTATGTGGCATGGACGTAAAGAAATCTGAGGGATTGTGAAGAACAACATGCAAATACAATACAAGCATCCGATGTTGTTGCTTTGGTAGGTTTGGTGTCATGTGATCATCAGCATTCAGTTGATCACAGGCAGAATGCAAAAGTCAAATGAGGCATCTTTGTAAAATGGCATAGTCTGTTTAAGGCAACTAGTGGTTTTCGATTGAAATCTTACCTTAGTTGACCACTAATATATTTCCCTTTAACAATTTCAGCTGCACAGTTAATACTTGGAACACCTTGTTAACATTAGCCTAACATATCACGGCTCCAAAAATTAGGAACAAGCCTAGTGCATACTTACAAAAGAGCGAAGATTAAAACGTTATAACTCTGAAAGCCTTTCAAGATTGATAAAACATATAGAAGCAGCAGATCTGATTGACAGCGTTTATAGCGTCACTGAAAACATGAATGAGTGGCAGCAGGAAGCGTCTGATGTGTTTCAGTTCACCGAGGCCACAAGACACCGGAAGACCCGGAACATTCTCCCTCTCATCTCAGCGGTTTGTCCTCCATAGCATTAAAGGGACAAGGGATTGTAGGCCATTGGTGATTCTTTTGGCTTCTTTCGATTGATGTGACTTTGAGCTGAAGGAACCAAAGAGTCTCTGGCGCTGTAGAGCTTTTCCTTGAGGTCAACCCAGCTCTGCACATTTTTGACGCCCTAAGTGTCTTTTCTTGTCCTTTGAATCTGCCAGCCCACTAGCTAATTAACATGCCAGGTAGTAACACACTTGATTGAGGCTGAGTTAAGTTTTTCTGAAGTCAACAAGTCAGCAGGCCGAGGAGAAGAGATTCATTCAGTTCACTTCTCATGGATGAATTGATAATAAAAAAAAATATGATGGTCACATTTTAAAAGGCTCCCGACTGGATCTGGTGACAGCTGACCCACTCATCAGTTAGAAGCTGGTGGTCAGCATGGAGACTAGTGCACCACGTCGTTAATGTCATGGTCTATATCGTACTTTTCACAGAACTTGCTCGTGAAGGGCAGGCAGGTGAGATGCTCCAGCCAGTGCCAGTTAATCGGGTAAATGTAAAACCAAACGACGAGTGAAGACACCAGCCCGATGTACGCCAACATGGAGACAGCGATGAGGATTCGTTTCCGATACTTGTCGAAGGTCCCGAAGGTGATGTAGGGCAGGAAGGCGAAGGAGAGCAGCATGCCGCTGAGGAAGCCAAAGATGTGGGCGATGTTGTCGATCCAAGGCAGGAGGCCGCACAGGAAGAGGAAGAGCACGATGCCAGACAGCTTGAGGAAGGCTTTCCAAGGCTTCTCCAGAATCTGCCAACCTTGAAACAGCTCCACAAACAGGCAAGCAAGGAGGCCGAACTGAGACCCTGCCGGACCCACCTGGAGGAGGACAGGAGAAGACATGTTACAGACTATCCCACAATTGAATTCAAAGGAAGGATTTCAGTCCCGACTAAGGTTTGCGGTCTTTAGGATCAAATTGAGGAGTACCTATGTTTGTAATTTCCTACATTCTATTGGAAGTTTGTCATGGAGAGTAGGATGCTCACAGGTTTAGGTGATCTTAACTTTGACACTCACATAGTGGGTGTTTCTCAATCTCGAGTAAAGCTGCTCCAGAGCCACTATTTCAAGCATACTACGTCATCGAGTGCCGCCGAAGTACTGTTCCAATGTCCAGCATACTCGGAATTCTACCAAGCCCGGCGTACTTCGTTTGGAGAAATTTCGAGGCTGCACATGTGTAGACTCCGCGGTCTTAAAATCCCCACAATGCTTTGCGCACGGACCAATTTCCCCAAATCTGTGGCGGAAAATGTAAGGCGGGGCCTCTCATATGACGCACACCTGCACACTTGCTAGCCTGTTCCACTCTTCGTTTTCCGAGGCTAGGAAGTATTCTTGACTCGCTTCTGAAGCAAGTGACTCGGAAGACATGTGCTACCAAGCAAGCGTACTCGACATTGAGAAACACCCAGTGTATGCTAAAGACTCACATTCTTTAGGTGACGCGAGTTGATAGCATTGTTGCTCAATTATATTTGTTTTCAAAAAGCAATTTGACTTTCGAACAACAATTAATATACTCCCCATTTGGTAGATAACACCGGGTATTACAAAGTTATTGTACTGATTGAGTTTGAATGTGTTACAGTGGAGTTATCAATAATGTTTCGATGTCGAGTACGCTTTTCCAAGCAGAAAAAAAATTAAGAAAAGTTACAATGACAGTAATTTAGGTAACACTTATTTGAACTGAAATATCTGTAGGAGAGTTTTAGTAGCACACAGTCTCCTGTTATTTTCCATCTCTGTGGAGGAACTATACTACGAGCCGTGGTCCGGCAATAAAGTGGAGCAGATTAAAGTGACGTCTGAGTTTGAAGGCTTGGCCTGGTCAAAGGCAGATGGCTAATCTTTGACGCCGTTAACCCAAACAGAACAAACAGGAAAGGAGCACAGCCGGGCGCTCCACCCACACACTCCAGACCTGAGGACCCAGCCCCAACCGTGCGGTCACTCACTCAGATGTTAGAGGATGGCGCAGAGGACACCTAGTAGAAGTTAGCTTGTTAGAAGTGGGAATGGAAACATTATAATTTAATATGTTTTCATTCGTAATGTTAATGCCGTTACCCATTACTTTGTATGGTCTGGAAAATATTATCCTCGTCTGCACATGCTCACCCACTCAATTCAAATTAAGATGTTATTCTGGAAAAACATAATCCAAGTCTCATTTATCCAGTTTATTCAATTAGCTTTAATCGGAGAGTGTTGAGAGGGGGGGATTGTGGGATGACACGTGTAAAGGCTAAAGCTGGCGTTTATTTAAAAAGATTACACATCTCAGCCTCATCCAGTTTTTCACTTTAGCCCACATAACATTATTTGGTTAACTAATAATATTCCTCAGAAATAGTAAGATTTAGGACTAATTTATGAGTTTTAGGAACAGTTCTGTTTTACTTGTGAGGTGTAATTATTACAGTCACAGCTGCTGACACAGAGTCTCCTTAACTCAACAGTTAAAGGATAATCCACTTAAACTGCCTCCTTAAGCGCCTTGACCGCCACAGTTGTGCCTTGCGTGTGCGTCCTCCGGTTATTCCTGGTGTGTGGAGACCTGTGAGTTGGTCAGCACTAAGCAGAGCTGCATGGTGGGATTTCTGGCTCTCACGTGCGTCATACTGAGAGCCACCTCATGACACACCACGCATATATCAGACCAGAGTAATTGGTGATGGCTAATGAAGTAGATAATGACAGCTTCGATGACATCAAGACATAAATACAAGAGTGAAGACTCAAGGGAAAGTGTGTCAATGTTAAATAGTTAGGTTCTTTTTTTGTTGTTCTTGTTCATGTTCATACCAAAAAGACTCAAAGCAAGCGTCAATTCTGCATAAATGTGGTCCAAAGTGCAGTAGCTGTTTACCCGCACAATGGCACAAGACTAATCCCTTAAAAGGGAACGTGTGCTTTACACAGACACAATGAAGAGAACAGACGTGCCAGTCAGAAGTGGGTAATCCAGTTTGTTTCACACGTCCAGTGTTTGTACAGATCAACAAGTGGGTTTTTGCACAGATTCCATTTTGGATTAGAAACAGTATAACAGTAGGGTTACTCATTGTTGTAAAAGCAGATTTGTGGTGCTTTTGGAAATAAGGGCACAACAATATGAATTTAAATATCAGGGGACCTTGTGGTTCATTCTTACATTTTCTCCCTGTCAGAGAAACACTCATGAGTAATTCAGAGTGAGAGAAGATGTAGGAAAAGAGAACAGCATCGATTAATCAGAGCTATTAAAAAGCATGTACAGACACACCTTATTATTTGCAGCTGACTCAGCGACCTCTCTTAATTAATCCACTTTATTAAGCAGATTAATTAAGGTAACTATGTTTAAATATAACAGATGAAGCTTCATTTTGCAGGTTTATGTCAGCAGATTTCATTATTCAGCAAGCTCCTCTTTGATTTTTTTTCAACTGAGGACAGATGTACCCAATTTACATGATGATTAAGCTTTCACCGGAATAAGAGGTGATTATTATAATTTTTCTAAAACTTGCTCAACTTTAGCCACATAAAAATCAAAATATATCCCACATTAATAAAAAACAAATCTGCAAAATACGTTTTTTTGTTTCATGTATTAATGTGATGAAGGTAAAATCCGGATTTGGTTGCAACCAACAGAAGCCAAACCAATGACTGCCTAAAAAGTTAGATCCATTCTCAACTTTAAAGCTATGATCAGTGTTTGTAAATGTCAGCAGAGGATTTACTTCAGGTGATCCAAGATCATTAGGGAATGCTGTACTCTCTAAGGCCCCGGCTCCACGAGGACGAAAACGGGTTGAATCCGCATATTTCTCATGCGTATAGCCCTCTAAGCTCGACGACGCCGTAAGGGAAACGTAGAAACAGACCCCGCAAACGACAACGGGTCCAAAGGTGGATAGATCTGGGAACGGAGCGCTCTGGGGGGTCCAACGGGGCCGTGGAGTCGCCTATACGGTCATTCGTTTTCATAGCCCCGCCTCTCCCTGCAGGGTTGCTATCGTGCTCCAGTCGCTACTGACCATGCTACAGTTCTTTGTGCAACATCTACAGGAGCTCCTCCTTGAATTCAGATTATTTATCTTTATCTCGATATGGACATAAACGCGAGTGAAGTCTAATCTGACAGGACGGAGACACGCAGCTCCTGCCGCTGTGATGCAGCGGGAGCAAAACACACACTTCAAGTCAGATCATCACCCTTAGCTATTTTAATTACCTCTCAAACTACCTAAACTAGTTATAAATATGTTCATTTTTACTGTCGGGTCACTCATTACAGGATCAGCTGCTGCATGAGACAGACACTGACGCTGTGAGAAGAGAGGAAAAAGAGATGTATTTGATGATTATATATCATTATATAGAGTCGTTATTCATTTGTTTTAAAGCTCAATAAATAACAATGAAGACCTTTGACCGGCACTTTTATAATTTTGTCCGGAAGATTTAAACTTTAACACACGCTGACCGGCGAAAAACTCTGCCCGGTTCTGTCGGCCCCCACCGCGGAGAATACACAGAAGTGCAGCCATGACAACCATTCTTCTTCGCTGCTTTTGTGGAGGAAGTTGCTGCTTTTGTGGAGGAAGTTACAGCGCCACGTACAGGTTCGGCATATGTACTGCAGCTTTTCCAGCGTTTGGATGTAAACGGAGCCGTCTCGTGGAGCTTGACACAATCCGGTGTATATTGCGTGGGGACGGAAGGTTTTTTGCGGTTGCATTTGCGTTACTCCGATGCGTTTTGCCGTATTTGTCCTCGTGGAGCCGGGGCCTTAAACATACACCACCTGAGGAACAGTGCTCTTAGTTGGTTGGCAGTGCTCTCCTGATTGGAATTAAGCTCAGTTTCTCCAGGCACTTTAACAGTTAACACTACGAGGCGTTTGCCCCTCCAGACCTTTCTTGATTGGCGTCAGAGCTGCTTGAATAATCCCCAGTATGAGAAATTCCCTTCCAGTAAGGGAGCCAAGGTAATCTAAGGTAAGCTGACTGAGAAAAGCAGGCAAGCAGACCACAGTTACAATGGAAATTCTGATAGTTATGCCTTTTGAAAAACGTTTTGTGACAGCATCAGAAACTGCTGGAATATGGTTCATGTGGGTCATTCAGACCATATTCAGCAGCTATAAAGTCTGAATGTAGAGGCGGCCCGGAGGAAAACTGACCTCAGCTCTGTAGGGCAGGAACAGGGCGGAGGCGATGTTTCCAGTGATACCGCTGAGGATGTAAATGATGGAGATGCGGACCCAGCCTGCCAGCTTCTCCAGGTCTCTCAGGATGGTCATCTGGAAGATCACCGACACCAAGCAGTGCATCAGCCTGCACACACACACACACACACACACACACACACACACACACACACACACACACACACACACACACACACACACACACACACACACACACACACACACACACACACACACACACACACACACACACACACACACACACACACACACCACACACACACACACACACACACACACCACACACACACACACACACACACACACACACCACACACACACACACACACACACACACACACACACACACACACACACACACACACACACACACACACACACACACACACACACACACACACACACACACACACACACACACACACACACACACACACACACAGAATTTAACATACATCCAGTCTGCTGGTATTTCAGCTGGTGCTGGGCAATAATTCAATATGATAATTGATTGACCTCAATGGAGTATACTCTAAGTATATGCACTAAGTATCAGTATTCACATGAGTGAGCAGCTCACGGGCTCTTGGGGCCTCAATTAGTAATACTGCATTCAGTTTGAATCCTGAAGGATGCTGACAATGAAACCTAGTAATTATTCATAGCAAAATGACTGAGGCAGCTCATTGACTCAGCGTAATAGGCTTAACACTTTGTCAAAGCATAATATACATTCTTTCACGGCTCTTTAGCTGTTATGGAAAGTTACATGTGCAGTAGAGACATCTATACTTGAATGGCTGACTCAACTTAAATGATCAGAAAACAAGCAAACAATACTAACAAATAAGAGCCTTATCTATGTTTTGTAAAAATGATAACTTAGGATGTCTACGGATGTTTGTGAGTGTTGCGGTGCGTACCCAGCATGGAGGAAGAGAGAGAGCCAGAGCCGGTAGAACTGATCAGGAACATCAGGGTTGAGGAACGGCAACAAGCCACACACATCATCCAGACAGTGGATCTGCACAAGAGAAGCTTATGGGTTCAGAAATGTACCAACACACTGGCAGAAACACACACACAAACCTCATGCACACACACTACCTGTGAGCAGACTGTGGCTTCCTCATGGAAGTAACCATGCATGAAAGAGCAATACTCTCTGGTCGTGATCTCACATCTACAGGAGGGACAAGTAAAAAGCAATTTAAGTTTCCTCGGAGACTCTGGGATTTCAACGGATTAAGAGGTGGAACAGAGAACTAAAGGTCACACGTCTCACACGTCTCACCTGCCCTTCGTTCCTATGCAGCACGGCCGTCCCTTGATTTTACAGTCCATGTGTCTGTAGCCGGTGTGGTTCCACTGCTTTGGTAATGTACACACCTGGAGAGGGACAAGCAAGAAGCCATTACACAGAGATAATGTAAAGGCTTCAAAACAATCTTTTATTGTATTTCCTGTTGCAGACCTTAGACACAATTGATTCAAATGAGGGCTGGACTGAAAGTAATTATAGTACCGTAAGTTTGTTCTAATTAAATACCATATCTATCTGCATTCACTTGGCATGCCATGAAGACGCCATCACTTTATATATGGTGACAAAACTGGATGTCATTTAAAATGTTTAAAATAGATTTAAAAGAAAAGATAAACTCACTAAACTCAATCTAATGTATTAGTATCGAGGTTTTTCATTTATATTTTAGAGTGACAACTTCATACCTATGATAAAAAAACATAAAAATGATAATACAAAAAACCTAAATGAACCCTTCAAATTCAAAATATACATGTGGTATCACATTTGGTATATGTCTTGATAACACGAAGAACGTAAGTGTAGAAAATAAATTTCCATATTAGTAGCAGTGTGTCCCCTTACCGGCCACTTGGTGATGTCATTCAGCCACACATGAGGCTCTGCAGAGGCGGGCTCTTCACACACTCTGGTCCCAACATGCAACACACAAGACACAAAAGAGGACATTAAATTACAAGCAAATGTTGGCATTCAATTCACTTAAAATTCATAGTGAAAACGACGTGATATTTTTTTGTCCATATATCATGTGGCACAATGACCACATACGCATCATCTCACCTGGGGTCCTGGTGACAGACAGAACCAGACGACCTGTTGATGTCCACTGGCTCATCCTTCCATTTAATAAACGTGGCCAGCGTCTCCTGCATATACAGGATTTTATTTCAGCATTTGTTTACAAAAAAACTAAGGAATTCAATCTTTAAAAGAAGAATAATAATCCCCGTTTAAACCCCAATGTTTAGGGTTAAGGTGTATTTATTGGCTTGGGTTTTGGTTGTTTGCAATCTAACAGCTTTATGCATTTAATCTGTCTCACTGGAGCTTTAAGGCACTCACCAAAAATATAAACATATCAGCTTACAAAAAAATGTGATCCACCCCAAAAAATATTTTTGTATTGAAAAAGGTAATTTTTTACAATTATTACGATTATAACTACAGATTATAATCGGACATTCAAGTGTTTGTTTAGGAGCGTACGCTGTTCTAGTCTGTGTCTAACTTAATCATGAATTTCCCAAAGATGTTTTCAATTGCAATTTTTTGTACAAATTCATAAAATGTTTCTTTCCCTGACTTCTTTCTCAAATCAAAGCAAGGTTTCTTATCCTGCAGGGCTAATTAAATAAAGTTGAAGGATAATGTGCTTACGGAGCAGTCGGGCTTGAGTGTCTGCACGCATCCGGAGTTATCATTCTGAACGCAGCAGCCCGACTCTCTCTCCAGATCTCTGGCCTTCTGGATCAGACTGACTATCTGAGTGTCCTTACGGATGCACGGGGAGAACTTGGCCCCCAGGTGGATCAAGTCGTCCTGAAAAATTGAGGAATTTATTAAAAGATACTGAAACCTGGCAACCCACACAAAGTTAAGTGATTTACAGAGTAGTACAAATTAAAAACATGTTCTATATGTGCATTTTATTTAGGTGCAGATTAACTTCTCTATCTTTTGACAAGTTGTAAAGACATTTCTTCGTAATACTAGCTACTTGAAACTTAATAAAGCGAGACCTTGCATGCGGTAAACAAAAATAATCTGCAACCCATTTCACAGAGGAAGTTTAGAGCCTGATAAGTGCAACAGTGTGACAGGAAATGCAGTACGTGATAAAGTCACAAGCTTAAGGGGGTGTAACCACACATCAGGCGAGGCAAAAAGTGTGTAGTGTTACCAACGATACACAACTCTGTGAACATTTTAGAAAAAGGGTGAATATGTCTTATTTGTTTTACAATCTGGCTGTATGTAAGAATTGCCGTACAACATTTAAGGAACATTTCACTTAAGTTTCATAATCCAAGACCAAGTTTACTGTAAGAGAAATAAGTGAAAATATAGTGAAATACAGCAGCTGAACTGACACCAGCAGCAGACTCACAGAGCTGGGACCAACCCAGAAGTTCTCCTGTTGGATATACTTGACGCTCTCATAAATGCCTTTGTTCTTCAGCACCTACAGAGGGCGACAGAGGGACACCGTTGGGAAATGATCTGCTAAACACACAGCATAATTAGCAGAAAACTAAACATTTAAAATTCTTTGTTCAATATTCATTTATGAGTCTTAAATGTGACGGATTGGATTGCATCATATTGTTGAAGGTATTGCGTGTGCTTTCTTTATTTAATGCATTCAGCCATGTATTGATTGAGCAGATGATATAAGTGCACCCAGACAGCAGGTATTCCTGCATAAAAAACACTTTGGCAGTGCAGATAGCAGGATGTGTGTGTACTCTTGTTAGTCAAATGCAACCAATAATGCAAAAAAAAGTCAACTCAGTCAGTATCTCACAGTAATCCTCTAAGTTTGGAGATTCACTCACCAGTTCAGACGAAGAATGTTGTGCAAACCCCACAGGGGCAAAGCCGTATGTACAGCAGGCCAGCAATGTGATTACTATGTGGACAAACGTGATCCAGTAGGCAAAGTAAGGCCTAAAATACACAGCAGAGAAGCACCATACATTAAGTGAAGCGAACACATGGGCCAGGAGTCAAACATCACATTATATGGAAGACAAATGTATTTCTTTGTTTAAATTTGTGTAAAACTGTTCATATTGTAGCAAATTACAATAACTTGTATCTTTCTTCTCTCCAGAGGTTTAATGTCACTTTTGACTGCAAGAAATCCCCCCCACAGAAGAAAAATAGTTCCCACCAAAGGTTAGTTTTCTCTAGCTGACTGAGGTCTACTAGGTAGTTTCATTCCCGACCTGTGGCTGTGGATGTCCTCCAGCTGCTTCTGGATGTTGCTGCTGATGCTGCGTCGGTAGTTGCGGTTCAGCCACTTCCCCACAACGCCCATGCCGTACTGACGCTTTTGTTTGTCAAAGGCAAAGTGCTTGACTTGGGAGGCGATGCGACCCCCCCCGACGAGGATGGCTCTTTTCGTGGCCTGCCATCGGTGTCCTGGGTGTTCGAGAAATGTCCTTACTGGAGCGGAAGAAAGGCATTCAAGGATAATAGAGGGAGAGAGTTAGTTGTGAAGGGAGCAGTAAGGTGGCGTTCAGACAGATTAGGAAGGAGAAAAAATGGACATGTGAAAAAGAAAAGATGCATTTAAAACGTGATAAAATAATAATTTCTAATATGAAGGAAACAAAGTATGTAGGCATAACGTGTAACTCTTCTTTGTTACTAGAAAGTACTGATAAGTAGCTTCAACACGGCTTTTGTGAATGAGAAAACTAGGGATTTCTAAATATTGCACTCGGGACTAAAGGAGTGTGGGTGTTAACAGTATTCTGACTTTCCTAACGTAGCTTTTTGTGTATTTACTTACAGGCTGGGGAACTTCTGGTCTGGATACTCGCAGGGAGCAAAAGCTGCAGACATGGGCGGAGATTCAAATACGTCATCAGCCATAGAGTACAACTCACCATGGGCATCGACCTACACGGGAAAAACAATGGAGAGCAACAATTATTAGCAGCCAGGCCTCATATGTTTAAACAACAACACCCTGATCCTGCTGAAGCAAGGAGGGTGAAGAAACAGGTTATTTCTGTCAAACATCAGATTTTTGAATAGATTTGACATAAAGAAGGGGTATCAGGGTGATAGACGTTTGACCGTAATAATAATTTAGATATAAACGTATAGAAAAAGGAAGAAAGAAGGATCAACAAGGCAGAAGTGGTCGCTGAACAGACGCTGATATAAGAAATGAACAGTGAAAGTGAAACACAGTGTTGAAGAAGTGCGACTGCTGACATTACCAGAAGAAAAAAGGAAATTGCAAAAGAAAGTTGCAGCAAAGAGACAATTTGTCGCCAAAGCGCCGACAGGAGGATAGAGAGTGTGTGCTGACCTTGCTGAAGAAGAGCGACTCGGACGTGTCTGCAGAGTCCACGGTGTCATCGTCCATCCAGCTGGGCCTGATGAAGCTCCTCTTGGGGAAACTGCGACCTGTCTGCGAGCCTGCCAACCCATTACGACCCTGAACAAAATTTGTGCATTAGTTATTTTACACATGCATAATGTTTCATAAGTTCTGACCATCTTAGAAATAAAAACAATTAAAACACTAAAGGTATTTCATGTATTAGAGGTATTTGCAGAATATGAGATAACAACCGGCCAGGTATATTTTTTGGTAGCCAACCCACCTTCAGCAGGTTGGATGCGGCCCGGATGCTCATGCGGGCGACAGACTCTCTCTTGCGCCTGGGGAGGCGGCTGTAGCCGGAGCGCTGGCTGGTGAAGGAGCTGAGCGAGGTGAACCCCGGGGTGATGGGACCCCCCTGAGTGGCGTAAGGCGTCCTGGGGGAGCGACTGTCCACGTCATCTGGGCAGCGGAAGGCCCGCCCCCGTGCCAGGGGATCAACAATCTACCAGAAACAGAGAATAAATACATATTTGTACCGTCAACTTGGCTAAAACTCTCTCTCGTGTGTGTACATGTTTGTGTGTAAAGCAAATGAAAAAAATAATGGGGCTAAATAAAAACTCTCATCACTGGAAAAGTGTCAAAAAACAGGTGAACGTAGGTATGAGATAAAGAAGAAAAGGAAATAAAATAGTGGATGATTAGTAGATGAGAAGAGCTGGCAGTGACTTGATCCATCTGGAGAACAGATGGTCCACGTCTGTCACCTCACAGCTATCTACTTTATTAAATCCAGACACATTTTCCCTCTTTAAAAACTATCATTGCTATTTACTCCTGTTCTTCCAGAGAGACCTCTAAGCTTCATAAATCATACAGGTTGAACATTGTTAATGTTATGACACAATACCTAGCGAGTGGAAAGACCCCATGATTCAGACAGCTGTGTCTGTAACTTATATCCATGGTAGGATATTTTGGAATCAGGATATTAAAGATATTTCTCAACAAGTTATGTTGAATAAAACCTCACTATGTGAATAATTGGCTGGATATGAAAACGTAATTTGAGAAACACAGTATGTTTCTGTGGACCATAGATTACCTTGGGCATCTTGTATGCTGCTGGTGACTCCAGGCCCTGGTCGAAGCTGGTGGCCGTATCAGGCTCTCTGTACTGGACCTTCAGCTTACCGTAGCGCTGGCTGCAGTGGCGCAGGCTCTTCCTGTGCCATACCTGCTGCTTCGTCTCACAGTCTTCCCCCACCCCAAACCACTGGGCTGTATTCCTACACATACAGAGAGAAAAGGGATGCTGATGAATGCTGACAAATTGCTGTAAATGATTATAAACTAACTCATAATGCTGCTCTGTCCCCCATTCGCCGAATCCCTGATGTTTTCTAGAGCCTCACCGGACTCCACCCGACCTTCTTGTGAGCGTTACTAGCCTAACATGCAGCCACCACTGTAATCTAGATCTGCAAATATAATACTAATATCATTAGCGTAGCCTTATCTTATTGAAAATGCTCAGACATACTGTGTTTAATGAAAAGACATGCATTTTAGCCTTTTTGTACTGAACTCTTTCCCTTCTCACTCAATATAACTTGAGGGCTCTTGTGATCCATTCACATCATGTTTGCTTTTTCATAGACAATTCATCTGTTGTTGATCATGTCTATTGATCAGGGATCCTGAAGAGGATTTTTGCTTAGAAAGGAAAAGCACTTGCCTTTCTTGGATAATACACTTTAGTGACATGTTTTTTGAGTTTTTTTAAAAGAGCTAATGACCACTCCGACAGTTCATATTCATCGTAAGTTTCCAAGAGGTCAGAATTGACTCGAGAACAACATGAATACAAAAATAAAATAAACATGACTTAAACAACAGTTTCTTCTTTTTACCTGCGGATGCTTTGTGAGAGCGATGTTTGTCTTCCAAACTTTGCCCTTCTGTCTCTGAAAGTGAAGCCTCCGTCTCCTGCTCCGTCTCCTGCTCCGTCTCCATCTCTGGCTCCATCTCTGGCTCCATCTCTGGCTCCATCTCTGGCTCCATCTCTGGCTCCACTGATGCTCTCTGACACAGAACCAGGTGCTTGACCACCTGCGCTTTTTTTCAGGGACGGTCGTAGAGGCTGACCAGAGGAAAAGGAGAAAAAAGTAAAACAATTATCAATGTGAATAGTGCCTACACAGAGTGGACAAATGTGCTATTTATTACATTAATCTAAATAAAGCAGCAGCAGTGGGATGGATAATTATGAATGTCTACAGTACTTAACCAGCCAATTAGCAGACTGCAGGGAACACCTCCAACGATAGCATTATTCAAAACCTAAGACTATTACGAAAGTAATCATGTCATTATTGTAATGACTACAATACTCTTTCTCAGATGCAAGACTAAATCCAAGTATTGAGATATTTGGATTAAGTGCACGTTTAATGCACACAGTCGTGTTCAGTCAATATTTTGTGTGGTCGGGTATTGCTAAAAGGGCCCTGCTCTCTTAAACACCTACTTGTGTATGCTGTTTTATAGTGTTCTTCAACTATGTGGGGTGCAGTGACTCCTGTGAGTCCATTATCTTAACCGTCAGTGATTTTGCAGACGGTGAAGCTAATGGTGTTGTCATTCAGAGAGATAATGGGGCCCGAAGCAAGCGGTAAGTGAGCCATAAGCTCAGGTTGTGAAGATACACGGAGCCACTTTCAGAGTACTATGGTTGCAATTGATCAATTCTACGATCTTAGACACTTCATGCAGGATTTGTTCATTTAAATCGCTCTATAGATTTGACATTGACGAGTCAAGCTAATCAAGATGAGCATGAGTAAATCACAGGTAAATGTTGTGTTGGACTCACTTTCTGTAGATAGTCATATTTGGTGAAAGCACCAACAGACAATAAAAGCACACACAAAATAAGACTGTACTGTTATGTTTTATTGATAAGGAAAAATTATAAAAAATGTAAATGTTTTCTAATGTACATTTTAGAAGTAACTACAGTACATTGATATGTGTATTAGAATGGGAATACTACAGTTAGCAGCCTGAGTGTAGGGCCCCTGTTTATGCGTCTTCATTTCTCTTTTGTAAAAACTAAGCTACAGTACATGCCCAAGTCCACACGTTATTTGCATGTTTATTGCACTGGTTGCTCTTTAGTTTAACCATAACATGCTCGATTAAACGTACCTACTCCTTTGTGAGCTGAAATGCCATTGTATATTGTTGTGTGCATGGGGTTCACAGAGGGAAATGTATGGCCTTGTGCCCTTTAACTAGAAGACAGCTGTTTAAAATGCCTCCTGTCTGAGCAGACGGCAAATTCAGAGGTACAGGGGAAGAGAATGCTACAGCACGCTTTAATCACTTTTATACTGCTGTAAGTATTTTTGTACCTCTCTGTGCATATTGAAACTAGGGGTGGGCGATACCACAACATCTGGGTTCGATCCGATACCAAGTATTTCAGGGCCAGTATCGCCGATACTTTTTAAAATGAAAAGCGTCTTATGTACTTTCATGTAGGGGAGAGCTGCATGACATGGTTTTTGAGCTGAATGCATCATAGACTAAATCTGAATTCATTTTCATGATTAAAGACAGGACAGTTTTTATAGACAAATAAACGTTTTACTTTTGCAAATTTAAAGTGACAAACATGAAAAATAACAATACAAAGTGGCCACAGTAGCAAACTGCCTTCTTGCACACTTCACAGTTTGCTAAGTTTTCATTAACAGTTGTGATAGCTCCACACAACGCTCCTCTTTCTCTCAGCCATCATGCACGTGTGTGTGTGTGTGTGTGTGTGTGTGTGTGTGTGTGTGTGTGTGTGTGTGTGTGTGTGTGTGTGTGTGTGTGTGTGTGTGTGTGTGTGTGTGTGTGTGTGTGTGTCGCACTCGCGAGTCGCTGGCTGCTGCTGTCCTGCCCTGCTGACTGCTGATAATCGGCGTTCAGGCAGGGTGCGGCGCTGCGAGAGAAGATAGCGCATATACTTGTGTTCGTCTGCACATAGTTTTTGATGAAATTGACAAGTAGAGGAGAGGGGGGAAACAAGTATAAAAGTATCGATCCTATTGGCTCTAGTATCGATATTTTGAAACGTAACGTAATATCGGAGGTATCAATATTTTGGGATCGATCCGCCAACCCCTAATTGAAACTTGGTTTGACTGATTTGTAGGTATGGCCTCTCCTTCCAAAGAGTCCATCAACCCGAGTGAGCTAAATGACTTATGACAATAACTGCTGCAAGGACGCATGGGAATATTCACTTACATATCACACAAACAGTACAGCTATAGCCTACGATCTCAAAATTACATCACTCTGTCCGTCCCCTCAGTACGCACGGTGCTTGGGAAAAAAGCCATATCATACTCTGCCCCCTCGACCTGGAACACACTTCAGCAGGAACTTAAGCTGACCAGTTTGATACCCATCACAGATTTTAAAAAAGCTGGAGAAATCATCTGTGGGTGTTTGCACCTGCTATATCTGAATACTTTATATGGATTTAAATGACTACTTTTTTTACGATGTTGTATTTTATTGTTGCCTCTGTGTTTAGTGTCCTGTCTGTCTGTAACTTTGTGTGGTAGTGTTACCACTGAACAGGTCTCTCTTGCAAATGAGACCTTGTGTCTCAATGAGATTTTTACACCTGTATAAATAAAGGCTAAATAAAATAAAAATTCAAAAAGTATTAAAATAACTGCTAACTTTAACAACCTTATGATGTCCTGAAGTAAAAAATATATATTTGTAACTTTTCTTTTTTCAAATGTCAGGACTACTTAATTGGGTTAGGGTTAGGGTTAAACAAAAGCATAACACTAAGCACTATATAATGGCCATTTAAATAATGAACAATGAAAGCTGGGCAGAGATTATTTGTGGAATATTACTTAGACACTTTCATTCTGTCTTAAAATACTTTATGAAGAAAAGGCTGAGGTTTTCTCAGGTCAAATGTCCACCAGTTTATAAGGTAAAGACTGTAATTGCAACAGAAACACTTTTTTTATTCGCAGTCAGCAACAAGCCGTTTACTGTACATGCAAATGTATATAAATAAAGCACTATTCTTGCTGTTAATTTAAAATAGCTCAAAGCCTAGTGTCTAGCATTATAGAGGTTGCAGCCTAAGGGTGTTTTTTGATGAATTCAGTATGCATGGGAAAAAGCACCAACACTTTGAGAGGAAGTAGAGAGTCATTGTGATTCTAACACATCTTTATATATACTTTTACGTTTACACCCCAAGGAGGCGAGGCAGTGAAAGACAGGGTCCGGTCAAAACTGTCAGCCCACCTGTTTTGCCGGGTCGTGGAACATCTCTTCCTCAGGTGGAGGGATGGCGATCACAAGGCTGGGCGGCTTCTTGCTCTGCAGACGGCTATCAGACGGACCCCCGTTTGGAGGAGGCACATCGCCCCCCTGTGAGGCCATCCTGTCACAGTGCTGGAGAGGAGAACATCATAGAGGTCAAAGACAAGTATAGACAAATGCTTATAAACTTCAAAACTGAAATAAGGTTGTATCAAGTCTGACTTGTGGAGGATGTGTGCAGAGCCACCCCCTTTACTTTATTAGGCCAAACAGTAACTCAAATAAGACACTATTACTGTCTGCTAAAACAAACAGTCTCTTTAACAACAGCTGGCTCTGCTCCGGTCCAATCTGTTAAAGAAATCATTGCCTTTAAGATTACCGTCATTGGCAATTTCTTAAGTGATTCTTAAAAGGCTCTACATTCACTTCCAGCAGATGAGAAATGGTGTTATATCAAGGATAGCAACTTGCCTTGATACACAGCGCTCAGCTCATTGATCTGAGTTAATGTAATTATAGGAGAAGAGGCTGGAGGGAAGGAAGGGGGGGTGTCTGGTGGACGGTTTTACTGTGAATATGTGTCTAAAAATGGAATAAACAGAAGTTACCAAAACAATTCAAACCTATTATACTTCTGTGATTGGAAATGCTATTCTAATAGAGAAGGGTAAGTAGCAACACCAGTGCAGAAACAGTTCAATACTTTTAAATGTTTAATTCATTTAAATGTATTTACATGTAATTTGCCTCAAGGGATTGAGTGTATTTTATAGATGTATGTATATATTTGTCATTATATATTGAAGGTGCTAAGTTTAAAATGATGTAGGAAATGTTCAGGAAAATGATTAGATAATTCATTTAGTGACATAATAACCAGATGCACATGTAAGGTACGTAATAATAATAATAATGCCAAAGCACTTATAACTCTGCTTATTATTCAGCAGAATTGCCCACAAAGTAATAATAAAAGGGTTCGCTTCTATAGCATAATCCATACAGCACAATCTATATAATAACTGATCATTAAATAAAAGTATGGCATCATACAATACTGTCAATCCCAACCAGAGACCTACAATTAAATACATTTCAAATCCAAGATAAATTCAAGGACACTGGTCAGCCACTTAAATAAATCAGGTATCAATTATGCAGCACCTTATGTATGTTCTTGAACCACTAATGAAAAAGCAACTGATACACCAGCTGTAGAGGGACACCCGATGACATCACATGACGGAGATCAATATTGCTCTCAAATCATCAAGCTTCCTCCAGGAGGTTAGAAATCGACATCCTTGTCCTCCGTTTGAACTAAAAACAGCCTTGCATTAAAAAAGTACCAGTGGGTTGACTGACCAATCGAGATCAATGTGTCATACAGCCACTGTTTACAAACATCATATTTACTGAACTACATCACGTGCTCACGCTGCACACTTTGGACTACACAAATGATATGTAAATCATATCTGCAGTCCAGTTGTAATAGGATTCATAACCAATCCTTCTGCCTACCCAGGCTAAAGACCATTATTAAAACGTACTTATCCTCGTCTACGAGTCTTTACCAATCTCAGTCAAGCAGCCAGTCTATTCCTGGAGCTCAGATTGTCCCGTAGCATTACACTGCACATTTCTAGAGAAATCAAAGGCATTGCAGGCATGAACAGATAATGACAAAGGCCTTGGCCAACACATCCATTACAGTATGTCATTATCCTCTTGAAAGCTTTGAAGTTGTCCACGAGTTGTGATCTATAAAGTCAATGCGAGACCCGGGGTGTCTGTGGCAGGAATGGCAGCAGCTGGGAAATCTGACACCAGCTCAGTCAATAGCGCAGTTTCAACTGCAGAGCCAAGACACGGTCCGACAGGGCTACACATATTGTTCATGTCACTTACTCTGCCCCCCCCCCAAAAAACAGCATTTCAATAATGCCATTATGCTAATAGGGGTGTATGTTTCAATCCTGCTAACAGTCTTTTTGATTGTGTGTGATAAATATTTCACGATTGGGCAGAAAGCCTGATGGAGTCCTCTAGAGACGGAGTACAGGCTTCTGGCATCTAGCCTGTGGTTTAGTTGAGTAGTGGGTACAGGCTGGAACCCCCCCACTTACATAATGAAATAGCAAGGAATTTAGCTAATGGCAGAGCACTCGAGTGCGGGCAGACGGCTGCTGACCAAAGCTTACGAATGTAGACGGGCAACGGACGACAAATTGTATCCTCCAGAGGAAAGATAACAGGGATAGAAACCTACAGGATATGAGGCTGAAACCCGGGACAGGGAATACTTCTACAGATGTTTAGTAAAGATTTAACAACACATGAGAATAAATACTCAGCTATCTTAATGATATACATAGATTGAAACATAATCGTGATGCCAACAAAAGTTGTTGTTTTTCTCCAAAGAAGATTAAAACAATAAGAGACCTGATATATAAAACTAGCAGAGTGTTCATACCACCAAATGATAACATATCTTAGAATGAGATTGGTTATTTTCACTATACATAACCATTATTTCCCCCAGTTGTGTCTGGGGATGGTAGTGCGTCAGCGGCACCATAAGGGCATGTTAGCTCAATACACATGGACCTCTAATCATTAACCATCTGTGCACTCTCTCTGTAAACACGTCTAGCTAATGTGTGTTTCATTTCGTAAAGAATATAACTGCTTCAATAAATCTACTAATAGATGACAAAACAATTATAGCAAAATACTTTGATGCATAAAAGTTGTTGAAAAATGGAAGTAAATGCTGTTTTCAGCCTCTGAAATGTCGAGATTTCCTCTGTTTATATTATATCAAACTTAATATCTTTGTTTTTTTCACTATTTTCTGAGATTGTATATAGACCAAACAATTAACCGTAGCATTCGTTTAGAAGATAATCGTCAGAATAATAGATAGTTAAATAACCAGCAGATTAATGAATAATGATAATTATTGTTCGTTGCAGGCTGGGTTTGAGGCACAATACACACAGTTTATATATAAGATATTACCATGGATAGAATGACAAGAAATAAAAGATATAGTAACGTTAAAAAAACAAGGTAAGTTACAAAAGAAGGAAACATTAGAAACCCCGGGGAAAGATAATCGTATGAGGGATTCTCCATCCTCATGTGTCGAGGGAACCTGTCAGCTCCCTCGCTGCCACCTCAGATCTCAAAGAGTCATGTGGCAGAGGCATGTCCACGATGACATCATACATAGCGAATGTCATCACATGACATGGACAGTACCATTTCCAAGTGTCTAACAATCCCCTGGTTCATTGAAACTATTCATCACTTGACCATTAATCAGTGTCTGTCAGTGTGTGTGAGCCCCCCCCCCTTGTGTTTGGTGAATCACGTGTTCCTCTGATTGCGTGTCACCATGGTTCATCTCTCCCCCCTGAGGGAGGCCTGCCCTAATAATGAATCACTGTGTTTGTTTGTGAGTATTCCCCTTTGACTGATGCTCTGTGAACCTGGAGACGGTGCTCGTTCCCTCGGAGCTCTATAGTAGTGGAAACATGTAACATACTACAGACAAAGTGAGGACAAATTGTCCCTGTTGTGAGAGCCCCATACATAACCAGCATGCAGGGGTCAAGGGAACATATCAGGTTTCATTTTCTGCCTCACTCAATCTAGACAGCAGTGGACCGACTCCACCGCGCACACACTTACTGTGCCTTGTGTTGAGAGTGGGCAGCTCTTGACTAAAACAGGTTAGGACTTAGGAGGCTTTTCCAGGCTTGGCAACCTACGTTTATTAAGACGAGTTGTATTGTTTGTCACGACATGCCTACAGTAAAAGCAAACAAACTTGTTCTCTCGCTGTATATCTTTGGCATTAATCTGAGCCGAGAGAATTGTTGGAAATCTACACTATGCGCCTCCACAGCAAAACAAAGCTGTGCTACTGTGTGGAGAAAAGAGTGGGTGTCACCATTAAGTATTGACATGACTCTTCAGAGCTACTTGTAGTCCAGAAAGCGTAAAAAGTGACTGATTTGAACAGCTTGCAAAATGGGCTTTCATTATAAAAGATCATAAAAGCAGTTATAACTTTGAGTTGAATGATTATCTTGTCGCATGGCGGCACTTCAAACACTGATGTGAATCTGTAGAGACCTGGACTCCAGACAACAGCGCACAACAGCATCCTTTCTTTTGAAGCGGATACTTGAGACTTTGCCTTTTCTTACTTCCTTTAACTGAAGTAATAAGGAATAGGTTTGCAAAGGGCTGGCACATTTTTGGAAGTAGGTATTCATTTGCTCTTCGCTTTAACATTTTAAGTTTGAACACTGTACACATTGTCAGCTTGAAGTTATTTTCCCAATAAGTTAACTTGTAGCTCACTAACTCACCATTTGGCACATTTCACATTGTATATCATTGACCAGTTGTTGAATGAGTTTAAAGATAATGTCTGCTTAGCATATGGTAAAAGTTGTGTTTCTATCTGGATATGACATGGTCCATACAGCCTGAGCAGATAAACATCACATTTTATAGACATTAACTTTTACCCCAACATAATTGTGACCTACACCGATACAAGTCAACATCGATTGAGTCCTTTTGGGATTCGCCTTAAGTGTATAATCTTATGTTGCATGTCTAGGGCAGAAATAGCTGTTGTGGTCAGTGCTGTTAATCATTTATGCAGAAACCCTTGGAGCCTAAATGAGGAACTGACCTTCAGAGAACTGCCTCATCACTTCTTCTTCTTAACATCCACCAAGTCTCCTTTGTAGATCCAGACAATGGCATACAAAAGGATGTGTAAATGTTTGCTCACCGCCAGTGTTTATTCCATGTTCTACTCACAATCAACTTTAAACTACATCCACTCATGTGAAGCTTTTAAGAAATGACGAGAGCTGTAAAGATTTACCAACAAATTGCTTGTTAAAGGTGGGGTAGGTAATTTTGGAGAAACCAGCTCGAGTGCGCAAGAATTTGAAAATACACAACCGGAAAAAATCTGCCACTTCCTTACAGAGCCCTTCCTCCAACACACGAACGCGCACATGACCAATTAGGGCACGAGATAAGTTTGTGCACAGATGGAAGGCTGACAGGCAGGTAGGCCATCCAGTTACTTT